CAACAGAATGAAAGACCTTGTTCTATCAGAACTTGCCATTTCATGATGTGGCTGGGCAGGCAACTAAAAACAGCAGGACTGGGAACGTTACACTTCCAACTCTGAGCACTAAGGTGTGATCACCGTGTGAAACAGCCAGAATGCACCCCCACTTTTCTGAAGACATGGTGTACCTCAATAAAAATACAACACAAAATGATAGTAATTTTGAGTCCACCCATTAAGGCAATTCCATAAGCTAAGCAAACAAGAAATGTCCTCGGCTCTCTCACATTGGAATTGCTAGCTGGTGACTGAGCTCTGAGATGAGATCTCTATCAGGCTGTCTCGCCACCACTGTCATCATCAGCCTGACACTCCCCACAAAGGACTCAGATGTGCGTACCTAAGCAAACATTTATCTTCCATGTTGTGTTTGCACTGAACAATTTTTTACTCACTTTCACTCTTTCTAGGCATTTGAAAAAGACAGGATGGTGAATGTATTTCCTTGACCTAACCATTAGTTGATCTCTCTCTCTCTCTCTCTCTCTCTCTCTCTCTCTCTCTCTCTCTCTCTCTCTCTCTCTCTCTCTCTCTCTCTCTCTCTCTCTCTCTCTCTCCCCCTCTCTCTCTCTGCAGAGTTTCAGTCCAGGCTAATCCTGAACTCACTTGAGGTTGGCCTTGAGTTCTTGATCCTCCTGCCTCTGCCTTCAGAATGCTAGAATTACAGGCATGCGCCACCACACCCAGCTGATTTGTTAATTCCTTTATCAGAATCCAAGAGTTTACTTGTAACCAATTAAGTCCAGCATTTCCAAGCAGCGGCGTGGCAGCATGTTCTTTTTGGGGCAAGCTGACTGTTCAGGGTGAGGGAAGCAGGTTAAGCTAGAAAACGTGTTCCCATCTGGATCTCTGTGGATCCTCTTAGTGCCGACTGGAAAGTGCATAAAACAAGGGCCTTCATTTCAGGGTTCCTTGAGATCCTTCATCTTACAGATGAGCTCCCTCGACCTGGCACAACCAACTGGTTGGCTAGCTTATAAAAATTTCCATAACCAGCCGTGATGAGTTGGTTTTGACTTCTAGAGTCCAGGCAGTACTCCTCCTGGGAGGCAAGATTAGTCAGACAAGTGACAGGAGAGCTGGCATGTTGGGGGTGGGGTGGGGAGAGTGCCGTAGGGACCTAGGATATATGATCTGAGGAACTTTAAGAAAGCATAGTTTTGATATTCTAGTGCTGTAACTGAATCCACTGTTACAGAAGAGTCTACAGGTATCAAGGGTCCACACCCAGGAACAAAATAGTCTGAGAACAACTCCTTTCCACATAGAGGACCTTTGCCCCTGTGACCTGTGAGACTCTGTAACGGTGTCCTTGTGCTCTGTCTGCTTCAGTCTGCTCAGTTAAGCCTACAGGGACGTCTCAGATCCTAGCTGTTACTTTTCATCTCGAAAGTTGTTATAAATTAGGACCCTCACTAGGTTTATCTTCGGTGGCTTTGAAAAGATGTCTGTGGCTTGAAAAAGATGAACTCTCTAGGGCAAACATAAGGAGATGGGGGTTGCTAACTCTGAACCAGGCATAGGTGAGGAACCCATTGAGGGGCTGGGGGAAAGTACAGGGAGGGAGGACAGAAGGGGAAAGGAAGAGGAAAGACAGACAGATGAAGGGGAAAGAAAAACAGAAGTCACTCAAGGCGATCTGTGAGCACAGTGAGTAGGCAGGGCGGGGCCAGCTCCTGCTGCTCCTGGCCCATTTGGTCCAGGACAACTTGACCTCTAGGTGTGACTGTGAGAAAAGTTCTGCTGAAACTGCCTGAAGTTAGAGAGCTTAGGGGAAGGGGTAAAAAGGGCAAGTCACAGGGGTCTTGATAAATCAGGAACCTGCAAGCCAGCTCCGCTCCCTCTCCGCAGCGCCCCCAGCCATGGAAAAATCTCCTTAAGTTAAGAGAGAATTTTGAAGGCCTGGCCGTTTAAATCTCTTAGATTTTTACCTATGTGTCATTTTTCTATTGTTTCACAGTTCATTAATGTGTATTTGAGGGTTTCTGTTTTAGGTTACGTCTTCCTGGAAAACCGGGGTTAGAGAATTTCAGAACTGGAAAGGAAGAGGGACGGAAGTAGAAGGAAAGAAGGGGAAGGGGGAAGAAGGGAGACAGAGAAGGAAGAAGGGGAAAGTGAAAACTAGAAGTTACTTAAGAGGTAAGCAGAGAAAGGGGTTATTACGGGTGGCTTGTGTGAGTTGGCTCTGACTTTGTGCAGATACATTTGCTGCATGGTCCACAGGTGGCTTCCAGTGTCCCCTTCACTTCTCAGGTACTGGCATGGGCGACTCTGCTATCCTGAATCTGCAGGAGCCAGGGATCCCTTGCCACTCAGGGTTTATGCCCCTACGTGACCAGCAGCAGCCCCTGTGCCTTGACTCTGCAGCATTGCCTACCGAGGATCAGTGCTTGACAACCCTTGCAGGGACATGGAGACACCAGTCTCTGAACCAACACATGATGAACACAGTCCTGGGCCAGTCCTGAGCGGGCATGGGGTGCTTGGGAGGGCTCTGATTGGTCGGGTTGGTCGTGTATCTGCTATAGCTGGGTGGCTCAGCAGGCTTTAGACTCTCCGGGACTGAGTGGAACTCTGCAAGGCGACGGGGTCACAGTAACTCTGTGTCCTTTGCGCCCTCTCCCCCCAACATACACTGGTCGCAGAACGTGCTCTCAGATGAAGAACCAGCCGGGGTTCCAGCCTGCAGATGGCTCCCAAGCTGCGGGTCGGGAGCAGGCTAGCAAGGGCTCAGGAGTGAGCGCCATCCCTTGTCTCCAGACTCACAACTATCACCAGATGAAATGTATGAAACTAAGCACTTAGAAGCAACGTTCCCTACGTGTGTTCTGTGAACCCAGGCCCACTTTTGGCCCCAGGTTTGCCAAGGTATCTGTAGCCTTTCCCTAATGACTCTTTCCTCCACAAGCCCAGCATCTTCACACCCTGGCACCTTGTGTGACTCCTAGGGGCCCTCGGCACAAGGGCCACTTAGGGTGCGCTCAAGTGGGGGTTCCCAAGAGTACAAGAGTACACCGCGCTGGGTCTCTGAAGCTGCTTAAAAATACTCTGGCCCTAGGGCTGAGATATGGTCGGAAATAGCGGGCTCCAGTGATCTGCTGTCGCGCTGTCCCCTTTCCTCAAAGAGCCCTCCCTCTCAAGGAAAACCATTTTGACATAGAGATCCTTCTGGAAAAGCATTCCTGGCAGCAAGGCCCAACACTGCAAATGGCCACCCCTCCCCCATCCCCACCCCTCACCCCCCCGACCCCCGCCATAGGAATTTCCGCTTCCATGATGGATACCGTCTCTGCAAACCTTCCAGTTTGGTGCAGGTGCCTGGCGGCCCAGCTGCCTGCACCTCAGGACACCAGCCCCTTCCGGGCCAGTGTCCCGCTGAACCACCCTTGGCTGGCAGCTCTGGCCTTGCACAGTAGCGGGGATGGGGGTGTGAGGGTGACCCCTGGCTTTAAGGGACACCGGGGGACACCGGCCTTGGAGCGCTGCTGCTGGGGAAGATAGAAAATGCCAGTTTGTTTTATACCGAAAGCACATGCCCTGATGAATCTTGTCTGGGGTCCTGGAAGGTAACACTGGGTCTTAAACTTGGAGAAGTTGCGGTTCTTTGGCACTCGCAGCTTCTCAGCGCTGGCTGACTAGCACGTTGCAAGCGAGGCCATCTGCGCATTCTGTCATCGCGCGCTGGAATTTCGGACTAGAGCGGTATCTCCATCAAAGATTACACAGCCGCAGCTCACTGTATTTACCTCATCACCGCCTGTGAGGTCAGCCTTATCGGCTGGTTTTAGGATTACAAAAGGTCTTGGGAGAGATACTGGACTTGCTGTCACGCCTTCAGTAACTCTAGGCAAGCTCTAACATCCAACCCCACAGTTGTCCTCTCAGACGCTGCCTCTTTCGAAGGTCGCCTCTGCGGAGCCTCCACATGGGGTGGCGTGCCACAAATATTTGTGGGTCAAATTCCGGGATCTAGTATCGCTTGCTGTGGTTTCTATGGAGGGGTGTGTCTGAGCCGTATTGACTCATTCATTCGTTCGTTCATTCGTTTGTTCGTTCGTTCATTCATTCATTCGGCAGTTCTTGAGTGCCTACTGTGTGCGACCGCTGGTGTAACAGCAGAAACAGCCCCGGTACGCATGCATCTGGGGTAGGCGGTCTCAAGTTCCCAGGCCATAGCCCTTTTAGCCTGGAGTATCAGGATGCAGAAAACCTAGGAGGCCCCTGAGTTGCAACAAAGCCTTTGGGGGACAAAGGAGCATAAAAGCGGCTTCTCTGGAGTAGGCGAAAACTCCAGAAAAGAATTCCGCGAAAGAGCTACTAGCAAGGGATCTGCAGACACGGACTGCGGGGAGGCGACAGCAGGAAGAATGGGATGGGGCGAAGACGGGAAGAGGAAAAATCGGGTGGCAGAAAACCAAGACTGATGCCCCTTCAGAGACCTAGAGTGTCTGCCAGTTTGGGACGGGCACTGGGCAGAACCCGAGGTCCGAGTAAATTCCACATCGGCCTAAGACGTCCCTGGTTGTCTGGGGCCAGATGACCGAAACCGTAGGTGTGTCCTGGCCGAACTAGGGACTTTGATGGTCAGTGTCTCTCCTCTTCGGGTAACCCTGCGAAAGCCGTTTGAGTTCAGTTCTCCCTCGCGGGAGTTTTGGTAGAGCCTGGTCCCTGGGCGGAGGGCGGAGGGCGACCGGGGTCGCGGGACAGGGGACTGTACCTGACTCTCGCGCCAGCAGGGGAGAGACTGAGGGTGTCGCGCACGCTCCCAGTGGCCCTGCATCACCTGCACTCGAGCGCTGCTGATCCGGGACAGGCTCGGGAGGCGGAGGTGAGGACAGGGGCGGGCACCGGGACAGGCCCAGCCCCTCCCTCCCCCTGCCGGCAGGTCGCAGAGGGGACGCCGCGGCGGGGCAGCCGGGAGGGGCCGCGCCGCCCCTGAGAGTCATTGGAGGACCCGGTGGCCCGAAGCTGATAAATAAGGGCCCAGCCCGAGGCTTCGGGCCAAGTTGGACGTCGCGACCCGAGCAAGGGCCAGGTCAGCGCCGGCCCCACGAGGCGTAGCCAAGTGACCCGCGTTCGGCCATGGCCTCGCTCCTGGGAGCCTACCCGTGGACCGAAGGGCTGGAGTGTTCTGCCCTGGAAACCGAGCTGTCGGATGGGCTGTCGCCGCCCGCCGTCCCCCGACCTCCTGGGGACAAGAGTTCTGAGAGCAGGATCCGGCGGCCCATGAATGCCTTCATGGTGTGGGCCAAGGACGAGAGGAAACGCCTGGCGGTGCAGAACCCAGACCTGCACAACGCGGAGCTCAGCAAGATGCTGGGTGAGTAAGTGCGCGGGGCGCGAAGCTGGTGCCGGGACCGCGCGGGTGATAGCGCCATTCGCAGAGGGAGGGGGAGGGGGGCTTCGAGCACCGACACCACCCAGGCCTGAGCGGCCCACAGTGAAACCGTACTGGTTCCTTCCTGGGGATGCGGAGCAGAAACCGGGGTCCCAGGGGCGGGCGAGACCCGGCAGCGGGTCCTGAGGACTGGAACTCGGGCTCAGGGACTCAGCTGGGTGGTTATGTTCAGCCTGGGTGGAACCCGCGTTGGCTGGAAGACTGAGGCAGGAGACTCCATCATTTCCCACGTTGTATGACTGGGACAGAGAGAGTGTGTCACCGATAAGAAGATAACGAATGTACGTCAATCGAGGCCTCACCGGGAAGAATCCCCATTTTTTTGTTATTTAACGGGGGGGGCAATAAAAGATATTCACCAGAATAGACTTGATTCACTTACCTATTTATCATAGAAGTGTAGATAATTTGAAAAGGTACTTGAAACAGTCAGGGAGGGTCTGTAGACCCCATTACTTCATGTTTGCAGCCTTGGCGCTGTCCGTGGATAATCCTGGCTGGGGCCAGACAGGCCGGCCAGAAAAATCGGAGATGAAAATGCTAAAACGTTCTTAGAAAACCAGTACCCAGAGCGGTGTGTGTGTGTGTGTGTGTGTGTGTGTGTGTGTGTGTGTGTGTGTGTGAGAGAGAGAGAGAGAGAGAGAGAGAGAGAAAGAGAGAGGTTATATATGTGTTAGTGTGTGTATATATGCATAAGAGTATGCCACAGTGAGTGAGTGTTTGTGTGTTGGGGGGGCGATCAGAGACAACTTTCAGGTGGAGAGTAGGATCATTCTTTCCACCATATGGGCTTCAGGGACCAAACATTCAGGCTTGATGGCAAATGCCTTTTTACCTCACCTTACTTCAAACCTCTTTACCCTTCAACATAGTTTTTGTTTATTTTAATCAATGAAATCCCTTCAAATCATTTTGTGTTTACAGAGGGCACCAGGCTGGCCAGGAGAGACATGCAGGCCTCTGTACCCCACCCGCTACTGGGTTGAAGCCCTGCCCTTTTCCGTAGGAACCTGGACTCTTTCCTCTTTTGGAGTCACAGAGAGAGGGCTGACTTTCTGCTGGCAAAAGGCCTGGGCCTAGAGAGAGGACTCAGCCCGCTGGCTGTCTGGAGCCCCCGAAAGCAGTTCGTGAGGGTTGTGTGGTTCCAAGCACCTCTTGTCCAACTTTGTGGCCAGCTGTCCCTAGCTTGTATTGGTGAGCATTGCCTTGGAGGTCCCTTCCTTCATACAAAATAATAAACCTGTATATTTTATACTCTATTGGTATAACAAGAAATAGACTAATATCTGCAACAGTATTTTTCTTTAACCTGAAAGCTTATATTGTTTTCTTGAGACTTTAAGAGCATTTTTTAAGAAATGCAAACCCTTTCAGCTTTATGAATTCTTAATTTCCCCCTCATCACTCTGTTGACCAGTCACAGCTGAGGACAGAATGTTACCACTTTTGACCAGGCTTCTGTAGTAAACCCTGGTGGGAGGAGAGAGAAGGTGGAGAGCCTGCAGAAGAATCTAGGCTGCCTGCTTTGGGGGGCAAGGGCAGGGACACAAATTTGTGAGACACAAATCTTCCCGTGGGCTAATTCTATCTGGAATAGAGCCCTAGTCTGCAAGAGGGCACAGTTCATCTCGCAGAAAAGACTCCCACCCCCCACCCCAGAAGTTGACCCTAACTAGTGTGAGAGAAAACAGCAGGTATTCATTGCCTATTAAAAACAGAGACCCTGTGCCTGCTAACGTGGGCAGCAGCAACCACCCCTGTGGCTTTTTTCCTGAATTCTTTCTTCTCTCTTTGGCCTATGAGAGGGAAAGAAGGCCTGGGTAAGAGACTCCCAGCTTTTGCTACTATAGGCATTCCAAACCTTAACCTTAAGACCTAGGTAGGGGATTTTTAGCACAGGTGAAAGTGAAATATATCATGAATACATTAAGTGAAGTATGTCTTGTGTGTTATGAATGAGGTGTATCACAAATTAGACATTTGTTAGGAATTATTTTAAAATGGAAATGGTATTTTATTAATACTATATAGCATTTGGGTACATCTGGATACCAGAGTCACATTTTATATTCAGATCATGGATAGAGTGTGAGGTGTGTCTGCATCCTGGACTTCTTGCAAGAGCTTTGTGATTTCAGTCACAGCCTGAGAACCAGAGCCATCTTTACATCTGGTGCTGGGAACACTCTTCAAGTCATAACTCTAAGTAACAGCTAATTACAACAACTGGCAAATTTGTGATAACTTCTGTCTTTGAGCTCTCACTATCCTATGATATCCTGACCCATGAAGTCAGCTGGTAGGAGTAAGGACTGTGGGGACAAGGGCAGGGCATGCGCGACCCTATGCTTAGCCACATGTGGATTATGCCCGGTGGCAAGATATGACCTCTTTCTTTTCAGGACTTACATGGCCTGATGCCTTGTCCTCTTGACTAGAAGGTCTGAAACTTCAGGGTACATTAAGGTCAAGAGAGAGCATGCTAAATTTGTAGATGCCCACCTTGAGAGGTAACAGTTTAAGTAGTCTAGAAGTGATCCTTGGAAATCTCTGGAGCAGGACTGCATAATGCCCACTGAAAGATGGACGAGGGATACCAAAGTGACTTGCAAGGCAACATACAGGTAGGGAATGATGAATAGAAATCAAATACAAGCAGCATTTTATCACCAGTGGGGTTACATGGAGAAGATGCTTCTAAAAAGAAAGCCTGAGTTGGAAGCAGCATGTGCTATTGTACGGAAGAATAGAGACCCGGGGAAGTTAAGGAGTTTGCCTCTGTGAAGAGCTGTGGCTAAGCAAGTGTCCTGCTATATTCAAAAGGTCCTAATTCCATGGGAGAAAATGGTAGCACGCATGTGTATGTGAGTGTGCCTGTGTTTGTGAATGTTAGCTTTCAAGCTGTACCTATATCTTCACATAGCAGAGTCTATTTGACCTGCAGAGGTGAGGAATAGTTATTTGTGAGCCTTAATGAGATTCTTGATGATATAATTGACTGGGCTGGGCTACTGAGATGTATACATTAGTAAACAGCTGCTATCTCTTCATTAGCAGCAGGGTACTTACATTAAAATGCACGAATGAACAGAGCCAACCCTTCAACAATAGAAAGAACCCCAGTCAATATTATGGTCCTGAGATTTTTTTTTCTGTTGCTAATGACTGGGTCAGGTGGGACTCTCACAGTTTGGACTGGTTGAGCCATCTGGTGTTTTGGGGTGAGATGGTGATTTTTAAGCACTTTCCCTGTGAAACTAACTTTATGCAGTGCAAACAAGAAGTGTGGGTTCAGCCCCTTCACGGTGTGTGGGATCTGGGAGGAAAAGGGAATAGAAGCAGATGGTGTCCTTTGTGGCTGTGAGAAGGTTCCTTTGGGTGGAACAGAGGGACAACGGTGTTTGCACATGGAATGCTAAGAGGCATGAGGCTGAAGCAGGTGCCAAGGCTGAACCAGCCGTTTGGAGTCTGAGCATGCCCTTCTCTGGTTTGTGTGATCAGGAAAGTCATGGAAGGCGCTGACTCTGTCGCAGAAGAGGCCCTATGTGGATGAGGCCGAGCGGCTGCGCCTACAGCACATGCAGGATTACCCCAACTACAAGTACCGGCCCCGCAGAAAGAAGCAGGGCAAGCGTCTCTGCAAGCGCGTGGACCCCGGCTTCCTCTTGAGCTCCCTCTCTCGTGACCAGAACACGCTGCCTGAGAAAAACGGCATTGGCAGGGGTGCACTAGGGGAGAAGGAGGACAGGGGTGAGTACTCCCCAGGTGCTACTCTGCCCGGACTACACAGCTGTTACCATGAAGGTACAGCTGGTGCCCCTGGCAGTGTGGACACATACCCCTATGGGCTGCCCACACCCCCAGAGATGTCGCCCCTGGACGCGCTGGAGCCTGAGCAGACCTTCTTCTCATCCTCGTGTCACGAGGAGCATGGTCACCCCCACCACCTCCCCCACCTACCAGGACCCCCTTACTCACCAGAGTTCACGCCTAGTCCCCTCCACGGCAGCCACCCTCTAGGCTCTTTGGCCCTTGGCCAATCCCCAGGGGTTTCTATGATGTCCACTGTTCCGGGCTGTCCCCCATCTCCAGCCTACTACTCCCCTGCCACCTACCACCCTCTTCACCCCAGCCTTCAGGCCCACCTGGGCCAGCTCTCCCCACCTCCCGAGCATCCTGGCTTTGACACGCTGGATCAACTAAGCCAGGTGGAACTTCTGGGGGACATGGATCGCAATGAATTTGATCAGTATTTGAACACTCCTGGCCACCCTGACTCTGCTGCAGGGGCTGGGACCCTCAGTGGGCATGCCCCACTCTCCCAGGGGACTGCAACAGGCCCCACAGAGACCAGCCTCATCTCTGTCCTGGCTGATGCCACAGCCACATACTACAACAGCTACAGTGTGTCATAGAGCCAGAAGCGTGGCGCCTGGCCCAGCCCTGCTGTCCTCTCCTCCCTCGGAAGCACTGAGCAAAATAGAACCTGTAATGCTACCATCCCTCGGTGGCAGGAGGTCAGAGCTGCTGTCCCAGAGCCTTCAGGGATTCAGGATCCAGCGCCCCCTCTCTCCCTTCAAATGTGTTTCACTGGCTTCACCCTGGAAGCACAACCTTGAGGAGCTGGATGCGGGTAGGACTTCCCGGCCACTCTTCCGTCTCCCCATCCGCGTGGCTGATGGTGGGAAGCCCCATTGCATTGGAACTCCTGCTTTTGAGGTAGCCACGTCTGATCTATGGTGCTCCCAGTGAGAAGGACCCTGAATCCGGGGTCCTTCTCAGTTCAGTCTCTAACTGGCAAAACCCCATTCTGGCTTGACGAGCCTTAACTGTTTGTCTCCTGTAAAGTAGGGACTGGCTTGTTAGCCAAGCCTCTCTGCTCTATGGGTTCCTGAGTTACAGCCCTCTCAAAGCCAAGGAAAGTGTGACCCCCGGAATGGGCAGCCTCACGGGGACTTTATGTGTACTGTCCAAGTCTCCAGGTTTTCTGCTTCTCTGGTCTCTGGTCTACAGCCGCCCTAGAGTTTCAAAGGAACTCCTCCAACTGAGAAAAATGTTCTCAATTGGCAAGGTGGCCCCGGATGGCTCAGTAGGTAAAAGTACCTGCTGCAAGCCTGACACCCTGCGTTCTATCCCTGGAGCCTCCATGGAAGGAGAGAACTGACTCCTGAAGCTGTGTTCTGACCTCCACGTGCATGCCATAACACATGCCTCTCCGAATTATATATGTGCTTGAGCATGCTCACATGCACACACACACATATATTAAACATAATTTTTTTAAGGAAACATGTACCCTGGTTTGGGAAATTAATGAATATGTTCAGCTGTATCAGTGAAAACAAAATTGAATTCAAAGTTTTTTTTGTGTGTGTGTGTGGTTGTTGTTGTTTTGTTTTTTCTCTTCTGAGACTGGGTTCATCTGTGTAGCCCTGGCTGTCTTGGAATTCACTTTGTAGACCAGACTAGCCTCGAACTCAAAGCCTGCTTCTGCCACCTAAGTGCTGGGATTAAAGGCGAGTGCCACCACACCCAGACTTGAAGTTTTTTGTTGTTGTTTCTTTGTTTGCTTTTTTCTTTTTTGGTTTTTAATATATACTTTAGCTACATTATTTTTTGTTACTTACACTCCAGAAGACTGCAGAGTGAGATGCCGTTATGCAGGCCCATCCCTCTTCCCAGGGTTTGTAGCCTGATTTAGATTATTCCCACCTGTAGCAGTGTCTCACTGCTTCCCTACTGAATGACCCAAAGAGCTAGGAACCTAAAAACACTGTCCACAAAGCAGCAGCATCCGGGTGTACTGATTTCTCCAGCACAGCTGCAGCATGGCCCTATCTAGAGATGCAAAGGAGGCCTCCCTTCCGGCTGTCTGCTGCTCCTCACCCTTTCCTGGAGGGTTTCCTTCTCCTCTCTGCTCTCCCCTCCACTCCAAACTGGCCCCTAATTCAAAGGGCTCCTGACTTGAAACCCCAGGCATGAGTCCTCTGGTCATGAGAGGAATGTGCTTCTTGTTCTTCAAGTGGATATATCAGAACAGTTCCCTGTCCCACCATCCTTTGGCTGTCCCAAATGAACACACCGTGACACCCAAAGATGTTTCTGAGCTCTGATCCCACCCCAGACATTTCCATCCCCTAAGCCTCCTTTGAAGGAACATACCTAACACTGAGCTAGCAGACTCTTGTCTGTCCTTGAACACGTGTGTATTATTACCTTTATGAAATGTGTTTGTATATTCTGCTGTTATCGCCGTCTTACATTTTGTATTGTTGACAGATTCCCCCTCCCAGAAGTCTTATTATAAAATCACTTATAAGATATACTTAGTCTTTATGTTATTACTGTATATACCATTTGGTGATAAATAGTGAACGGTTGATGATATGATTGACTGGTGCCCAGTCACGATGTGTATTAATAATCTCATAAGACAGTATCACAGACATTAAGCTACTCTGTTCTATTTTTTAAAAAGACTACATATGCATGGAACAGTTATGAATATTGATTTGTTGAAAATGTTTAATTTAAATAAATGTTTTTGTACCTTGACTATTCAATAACTTGAAATAGTTTTGAAAAAAAAACCAGATCTCATGCTAGGTCTAGATATTATACCCAGTGCTACCTGCAATCTTGTTTAAGTGGCTTTCTGCATCACGGTTTCTTTTGTTATTATTTTAAGACTTTTTTTGGTGTATAGGGTTTTTAAAATTTCATGAGGCATGCCAAAAAGATAAGCTCCAATCCCGCACATTGGGAATGATGCTGTTCTGGTTGCCAGTGGAAGAGGAGAGCCCCCGCAGCCCACATGAGTAGTTTTCCCACGCCTGCGCAGGGCAATGGAAGTAACTACAGGCTGTCCGAGCATAGGCAGCTGCCTACCTTGCCCTCTCCCTTACATGAGTGGTATAGTGGTATGCAGTGGCCCTCTGACCTGGACAGCATGCTGTGCGGGAGGCAGATGAACAGCCTGGGAATCAAAGGCTGAGAGCAGGAGGGGGGCACGCCAGGACACACCCCCAGCCAAAAAAGAAAAAAAAAAACAGCACTGCTCAGTGCTCAGTCCCTGTGTAGGGCATCTCCTACTGGCCTCTCTTCATGGAAAGAAGTGACTTGTTCAAGTCAGAGGTGGCTAGCCATGCGCCTTCCCAGACCACCTTGAGCCAAGGACCGGGTCTTGAGAGATCCCACCTGGGCCTCTGCATATCCTTCTGTGTTGATCATGACCTACAGTCATATTTAAAAACATTTCATAGATGTAGGGTTTCGGAGCTGTTTCTTATTCACAGCCCCAGGTCATCATTTCCACTCCATTACTCAGCCAGGGACACTGAGGTTCAGGAGGGCTCACCACCCTCCTAAGGGGCTGGCTTCAGCACCCATGAGACACATTTGTTGGCAGCGTTTGTGGCTAGTGGCTTAGTGCTGCTCTTTGGTTTTGATTTTTGTTTTTGAGACGCAGCCTCATGTTGTGGCTCAAACTGACCTGGAACTCACTATGTAGCCCCAAACTTGCCTTGAGCCTGTGGCAATTCTTCTTCTTCAGGCTCGTTCAGTTTCCTGTGCTACACTAAGGCATATCAACAGCTCCTCAATACATGAGCATCTTAGTCCAAAGAAGAAAGAAGTTGTTGGGCTTGGCTGAGATGACACTGAGAGCCCTGCTACTTGGCAACACACAGGTTATACTGAGGTAGAGTCGTGGGCTCCTCTGAGCTCTGGACTCTGGCAGTATCTGGTCAAGACATGCCCCTTGGCACTGCCAAATGGAAATGTATCATTGCAGAGCACAGTATGTGTATACTGTCCGGGTCCTTGAGATGAAAGAAGCAGGCAGGAGGATACTCAGCTATCAGTGGAATAGCCTGGAAAACAGGGTCTCTGTGAGCCCCAGCTACCCATACGTCCTGCCTGTGGTACCCAGGGCACTTTGTGGTTGATGTCATAGCTCATGGGAAGATGATACATGATGACAAGTTGTTTTTTCTGAAATGCTGATGTCCCCATATAACTCTTTGCCTTAAAAATCTCTGTTCCTTAGCCGGGCGGTAGTGGCGCATGCCTTTAATCCCAGCACTCGGGAGGCAGAGGCAGGCGGATCTCTGTGAGTTCGAGGCTGGGCTGGACCGACAGCCTCCAAAACAATACAGAGAAACCCTGTCTCGAAAAATCAAAAAAAAAATCTCTGTTCCTGTTCCTTCAACAGTGAGCTCCAAAGGAGAGTCGCCTTGTGGCTGAGAAGCCCTTTACTCCAACTCTGACTTGTGTATGTCCAGGGAAGTCTCCATTTTCACAAATGGTTTTCATAAATGTTATAGAAAGAGGACTACTTTTGTGCTCTTTCCTTTAAGAGATACCTGCCCTCTATTGTATCTCCGGACAACTATACAAGCTTTGGGCGTATACTGCCTTCTCAGCCCCCATGTTAGCTTCCCCCATGGCTGATGCTCTTCTTCCCAGAAATTTCTCACTCAGCTTCTCCCAACCTCTGGGCATCTTGCTGCAGGAATATCTGCTGTTGTCTGAAAACATTATCCTTTCCCATTTATTCATGTTTCACCATGCCAGCATCTGTCCTAGAGACCCCCACACCATCACCTGTGTAGTGCTACCTCACACAGTGTCCAGGAGGCAGGTCCTTTCTCTCCTGTGGACCCTGGTGGCTACAGTGACTGGACAGAAATGGATTCAACCGGATTGTGTGTCCTCCGTTGCCAGACACAGTAGGCTCAAGACTCCTACTTGGGCTGAGTAGTGGTGAAAGACCCCCATCCTTTGGGTCCATTCTCCTTGGAACTATATTCCTAAGGTCTGTGGGTATGTTCCCCCAGGTCCATACGGCTGAGGAGGTTGGCCTGCATCCCCTGCAGAGTAGGCTGAAGAAACAGGTTGGAGAAGGGACATGAGCCTTCCTTTTTGAATAAATAGTGTTTCTGCTCTCTTCCCAGTGGAAAGGGGAGGGAGAAAGGAAAAAGGAGACACACACCCTGTTCTATTTGCTTCTGTGTTGCTATGAAGGAACACTGACCAAAACCAACTAGGGGGCAGGGATGGGTTTATTTGACTTACACTTCCGTATCGTAGTCCATCAGAGCAAGGACCTGGAGGCAGGAACTGAAGCAGAAGCCATGGAGGAGGGTTATTTATTGCCTTACTCCCCAGGATCTGTTTAGTTTGCTTTCTTACATACCCCAGGACCACCTACCCATGGGTGGTACCACCCACAGTGGACTTGGCCCTCCTACATCAATCATTAATCAAGAAAATGCCCACAGGAAATTCCTCAATATTGAAGTTCCCTCCTCCCAGGTGACTCTAGTTTGTATCTAGTTGGCAAAAAGTAACTAGCAAATACATATCTATCATATATATGTATATGTACATAATCTTTTCTTCCTCTTCCCATTTCTCTCTCCGTATGTCTTCCTTCTTTCCCTCTATTTCTTGCATTCTCTCATCTGTGTATACACAACTATTCATCCAACCTCCTGTCTATCAACTGTCTTTGAATTCTGGACACAGTCTTTGTAGCAAATTTAGGAAAATAATATCATAAATAAAAGAAAAGTTACTTCTCACTCAAAACTTAGAGCCACCACTATATATATATATATATACATATATATATATATCTTTTTAAAACTTCGGTCTAGATATATATGTACATGTCTTTTATGACAAATGGTTTGTTCTTTAATGTCACAGTTTCCCCATGTAATTTAGCTTAGTTTTTCTGCAAAACTGTTTTCTTGACAAACATATGAACATTGACAGTCCCAGATGAGTGTCTTCATCCACCCACTCCATTGTGTAGCAGGGAAACTGAGACTGAGGTAAGAGGACAGAGGATTACACGTTTGTCACCATTCAGGGCTACATAGTGAGACCCCGTGTAAAAGAAGAAAGAAGAGGGCAATGAAGACACTGAAGAAAAGGAAAGGGGGAAAGCCATAGAAACACTGAGCAAGAGAAACACTTGCTGTAACTACTTCCCTGATGGTCATTTTTGTGTATAGTAGCATCTCCTGTCCCATTTCCCAGCTCACACAGTAGGATGTGCTATTATTGTATTCATCTGTGGACACACAGCCCACTGGTAACTAGCTTGCTCCCTTCAACACCCTATGGTAGGAGTTAGCCCGTGACATCTGTCTTCATGCTGACCTCCTCTGTGGCTACATGGAACTTCATTGAAATGACATCATAGCATGTGTATTTTACTTAGCCAACTCATCACTCTCTCATAATTGGACTGTTCAACCTGTTGACCAGATAGCATTTACAAAGAACCTTAAAAACTCACAAAAAGAATTTATAATATTTTATGTAACTTTACAATTTTGTGTTGGGCTACACTCGCTAGTGTGTAGCCTAAGTGGGCATGGCCTTCAGTTCTTGGTTATGTCCCCAGGTACAAAGAAGCTGAACTGCTCCTGTAGACCCCACAGAGAAGAGCAGATCCTATGGGAAGAATGGAAACCCCTGGTGGCCTTTTGTCACTGACTTCCTGTGACCAAGCTCTTGGGACCTCCCTTTTCAGATGCCACGGATTCACTGTGTGCTCCCCAGGCTATCCAATCACTGACAACACCTGCGTTCCTTTCCCAGACCTCACTGTGGAGGACACACTCTGTCCTGGCTCATGGTGCAGCTGGCAGTCTGAAATGTGTGCAGGGGGCTTTTGTCTTGGCCTTAGCATCAGCTTCCCGCTGGCAGCTACCGATGGCACCTGAGACCAAAGGTCATGGGGCTACATCTATACCACATGCTCTCTCAGGAGAGCCTTCTGGAGAAAGTAGGTGGAGATAGGGGTGGGCCTGGGCCATGTAGACAGCTGGGGACTTGAATTGAGAGGCTGGGAAGCTTCACGAAGCCAATGTAATTGGGACTTTGGAGACTTTAGTCAGTGATTTTTTATGCCTTTTCAGAACTGGAGACTGTACAAACTTGAGAACTTTGGGCCATGTGTTTGTTGACTCTCAGTCTGGGATTTGTTGAAGGAAAAGCATATTCCTATAGCATAATCAAGGGACTCCAAGGGTCTCCACCAGGCTCCCTGGCTCCCTGTCTGGCCCAGTGAGTCCTTTCTTAGACCATTCTCCTTCTTCATGGAGGATGACCTTTTTGCCTTTCTTGGCAGCTGAATTATTATTCCACATCAGAATCCTCCAGAAAGGGGACTTTTCCCCCCCACTTTAAGCAGTTGAGGAATTCCATAGTCAGGAAGTCCTGTCTGCTTCACCAGACCTCTCCTGACTCATCCTGACTCCGAGTTTGCTTAGCACCACTAAAGGACATATATGTATCCCCTTGTAGGCTGGCAATCTCCATCTCTGAGAGCCATCTTTTGGGGAACCACGTTTTGAAACTGGGACAGGGCTTCCTTTCAGATCCTGGATATTCTATGGATGGGGCAGGGATGGAAGGGAGGAAACGGGAAAGGAGAGTAGGATCTCACTAGAGACGGAGAGAATATACCCTGTGGATGCTTCTGGAATGTACCAGAATGGTGTTGGTGTAGTCACTCCTTAGAGAGGTTCCTATTATTG